ATAGAAAAAAAAATCATCTCAATCAGAATTAAAACAAAAAAGTTATAGCATTTTTAAGAATATAAAAAATACTGTTCATTAATTTGAGTTTGAGTTTCTGAACTCGAGTTGAAGGGGAAACTTGAACTCGAGTTTAAACTTAAAAGAATATGAATTCGAATAAAATTGTAACTCGAGTTGTATTTTTTTGAGTTTTTCACTCAAAAGAACAAGCCTTAAATTATGAAGATTTTGAGATTTAGGATTGATATGGTGTGTTTTATGACGATTGGAGATGGTTTTGATGTCAATAAGATTGACTTTGATATCAAAACTAGAGCAAAAACTGTCATTATGTGTAGATATTGACTATTGAAAAGCATACTTTGATCGCTCTCCTCCTCTTTTTTTATCCTCTTTTTCTTCTTTATTTATAAGAAGGATTGTAATAATCTTTAATATTAATAAGATTTAGAAAATTAGATAATTAATGGATATAAATGCAGCATTCAAGAGGTTATCTAGTGAGGAGGCCATACGCATGTCGCATTACCATTTGGATTGACCGCCCTCAGTCAATGTTTTTTTTTTTTTTTTTTTTTTTTTCCATTTCCATTTGGATTTGCCCCCCCCAGTCAATTTTTTTTTTTTTTTTTTTTTTTTTTTTGAAAATAATAGATTTTTTTTCACATCATTAAATTATTCTAAAAATCATCTCTTTAATAAGATTAAAAGAAAGAAAAAAAATGAGAAAGAGATTATAGGGAAAATATTTGGCCCCTGTTATTGCTGCAAGTTAATGACAGATCCTATTTGTGATCAAATAGTCATCATGAAAAGCCTAAAAAAAATACTTATTATGGAATATAAATGATAGCAAATGATTTTATTCATTGTATATTTATCCAATACGATTGTGATCTTTTTCTTTCATCAATTGAGTCTCTAATTAAAGAAATGGGAACCCATTTATAATTGACATTGGTGAATTAACAACCGTAAACATGAAGTGTTTCCTCAATAATAATTAATGAAAGCAATTAAAGAAAGAAAAAGAGTAGAGTAAGGCAAACATATTATTTTCAGTTTTGTTTCTGACAAAGTTCACTACATCTCCCATTAAAAAAAAAAAAAAAAAAAAAAAAAAAAAAAAAAAAAGATCTCCCTACTCCAATATTTTAATGTCCCAATAAAAAATATATATGGTGATATTAGGAACAAAAACAATGAAAACAACAAATTAAAAGAGGACAAAAAAAAATCATGGCTGAAAAGGCTCCAAACTCATAAAATACTGCAAAAGAAAATGCTCTAAATCTCACGAGAAGGTCATCACCACAAAAAAAAAAAAAAAAAAAAAAAAAAGGCCAAAAATATAGCACCAAAAATGAAAAAACCACAAGTCCCTTTCGGAACTATAAACATTGGAAGTAGTACTAGTACAGCCTGCCAAGCCAATGCAGTACTTAGTACAGTGCCAAGAATACATTACGCAATATCCCATTTGCTGATCATTATTACTTGTATAAAAAGAATACATAAACAAAGCATATTATATTATATTTTGAGTATGTATTTATGTATACATGTGCATTGAATATGCAAAAAGTTTCCATGCTAAATTCCGCCTACCACATCAAACTCAATGGATTAAGCACTTTAATTATTAATTAACTAACCCAAATCTAGCACAAAGCTCGAGTCTTTGAGGTGAGAAGTGAGGACCACATGGCTAACTAAGTGCAACTTAGCAATTTTGATAAGTTTTTGGTCCGTTTAGTTTGCTGATTCGAATTTTTAATTCGAGTTGATATGTGACTTTATGTGAGAGCTTTTTACTCTAACAAAAAAGTTAGATATGACTGTTTCTGATAACTTTATACTGTAGCAAAACTCGAATTCTAAACTTAAATCGGTTAAATAAATGAGGCCTTTATTAATTAATTGCATAGGCGGTGACGCCTTAACTACGGTTTTATTATTACTCCCTATCACATTTCCAGATATGCTTATTACACCATTAATTAGTTACTAATATACTAGTTACTAAACAATTGTATAGTTACTAATATACTAGTTACTAAACAATTGTACTAACTTCTAAATACTCGAGACTAATGGCCTGTTTAGTTCGTTGATTCGAGTTTTTAATTCGAGTTGATATGTGATTTTATACGAGAGCTTTTTACTGTGTAAAAAAGTTAGATTTGATTGTTTCTGAGAGCTTTTTACTATACAAAACTTGAATTTTAAACTCAAATAAGTGAAATGAACATGACCTAAGACTCCCTCGCAATTATGGAAAGTTTAAAATAGAGAAGAGAGTTGACTACCGTTTTTTGCAATGCTAGATTATGACATAATCTAAAAATTACTGATTTTTTCCATGTTAATTAGAAGTAAGTGCATTGCATGTAATTTTGTAATATAACTAGCTAGTTAGTTACATAACGGAACTGATTACATACGTAAATTACGTTAGAAAAAAATAATAAAAGAGAAAACATTATAACGAAAAAATTTATCATACAAATCAAACGAGGAATAATTTTGTTACACTCCCACAAATTAGTTAAAAACAATACAAAATTCTCACTCTTCAATAACCAGCATATATTGCCAATTTGTCACTAAGAAGAAAAAGAAAAGAAAAGACGCAAAAAAAAACTAGTAATATTGCTTGCTTTTAATTGTTGGGAATTGAGCGGTGGCGGCTAATAAGAGGGTGGTAATTAACTCGCCGGGGCAGAGAATATTCCGGGTGGTGGTGGGGGACTGAGATGTCTGATGAGTGGGTCCCACACCCTCGGAAACTGCATCAATATATTATTAAAAAACACCCTATAGTGGGCCCTAACTATTTCTGGTTGTGGGGTTTGTAGGGATCATTTTCTGGTTCCACTGCTTCCACCTCCTGCCAATTTGCCTCCCCTAGTGGGACTACTAGCACCATCGATTTTCTAGCAATCCAAACAAAACACCAATGACCAAACGTGATTGGCTATCATATTTGCCTTTAAACCTCAATTAGGGCACGTTGATTCTTGTATATGTATTAACTAGATGAGATGCAACTAAGGTCTCGTTCAGTTTGTGAATTTGAGTTTTTAATTTGAGTTGAGATGTAATTTTATGTGACAGTTTTTTACTGTAGCAGAAAAAGTTAAATGTGACTTTTTGTGAGAGTTTTTAACTGTAACAGAACTGAAATTGAAAACTCGAATCTGTAAAATGAACGAGGCTTAAGGCTACTTCGTTTCGCTTATTCCAGTTGAAAACTTAAATTAAAAAGTAAACTCATGTGAGAGAAAACATTATAACAGAAAAAGTTAAATTTAATTTTTTATGAGAAAAATATTATAGTAAAAATTTAAATTATAATTTGAACTAATAAAATGAACGAGGCCAGACATACTAAATCGGACGGCCCATGGTCCATCATTCATAATATGTAACGTACATACTGAATTTGATTTTGCGGGACCCAATTAGGATATTGTGTTACTTAGTATCTGTTCATTTGACATAATCAGTGACGAGAGATTGAAGTTGATAGTGAATGACTTTTTATAATTCTATTCATATTGAATTGGTCTTGAAAATATCAAGAGTAAGCTTAGGTGTATATATTGCTCGATCCCCGCGTTTGTATACCTACTTCAAGAAAGATGCATTAGTACTTTTCGGAGATATCAGTTTGAGAAGGACATATAAATATGCAACTTGAAGTAATTGTATACATCAGATTTTCTATTTGGTGATGAATTTGATTTTGGGATCTTTTAAGTTCCTTAAAACTGAAAACTAGGGTTCTGCTAATAAATTTCTCTCTCATCCCATGAATTTGTCATAAATCATAAAATGGAAACTTAATAGTTAATTTAATTATTTTCCGTCAGTGTATTTGCTGATGAATATGAGTAGCGATACCTCTTTACAATCTTTTACGTGCCTTAAACTTTGAAACTAGGGTTCTACTGCGAAGCATAAATTATAAACTTAATAGCTAATTTAATTGTGTATGTGCATAGATAATTAGATTCTAAAATCTAGTCATGAGACACTTCATGATACTACGCGATTAGTCGTATCTTAATCATGAAATTTAATTGATAATTCACATTCTAACAAAAGCTTTTAGAAGAAAAATAGCTAGTAATATTCTAATAGAGTATCAAAGTCGGTCCTTGAATTTACGCAATCTCCAACCTAGCTATCTCCTTATAATTTAATCTTTGAGGA